CAGAGTCTTGAACTGCCCAGAGTGGAGAGGAGGTGCTAAATGCCCAAGATGCCAGGGAAGTGCTTCAGGGGTGACATGCCAGCCTGCATCAGAGAGAATGAAGGGCCTGGTCAGGATGGGCTGGGAACATAAAAATTGGACTGAGAATGAGGGGAGAGGAAGGGAGCTCTTGGACAATAGTTGTGCAATAAAAGAAGGGATTCTACAATCCACTGGAGCCAGAGGTCTGGGGCTCCTGATCAAAAGGAAAACACCTACACATTACAGTCCATCACTTCCACCTGTCTGTTTCTGGAAAGCCCAGCCCCGCCTCTGCTTTAGTCTACACAGGTGGGGTCATCTCTTCAGAAGGGTGCAGGCAGAACAGCTCACAGCTTCCTCCAGTGCTCTGCGGCCAGGTCTCCTACCAGAGCCCCAGTATTGCAGACCCTGGGCTGCAGGAAGCCCTCACTGGCCACTTTTCCTGGCCGTCTTCCCCCTGGTCCCAGAACAACAGGCATCCTATCACCCATGAGTACAGGACCCTGGGATCTGTCACATGGACGCTCTCAGGACCCCTGGGTTGAGTCTTCTCCAGCTTATGCTGCCTTCTTACACTCCAGCTCCTCAGCATCCTGCATTCATACCAGAAAGGCCTTGTGTGTGCCCCAGGGCCTGGCTGGCCAGAAATCCTTGCCCACAGGCACAGTTTGCCTCCTCAGGGGGCAAAGTAGGGAGGGTAGGAACTGGGAGAGGTGGGGAATGGGAGCTGAGCTCTGCTAGAACACAAACATGTTGGAAATGTAAATCTGAGGAGACCCCTCTCCTCCCCTCTTGTTCACACAATTTCATCTGGTCATTCATTCATGCTGACAAATATTTGTTGAGCACCTAAGTACTGTGCTAAAACCCAGTAGAACACACGGGAAGCAAGAGTTCAGTTTGGTAGGAATGGGAGTCAGTTAAGCAAATGAACATAATGAAGTGTGGAGCTGGTCATAAGGGAAGTGCAAATGTGAGTCTGAGGAATGTTTGCAGAATGGGGGTTCTGGTCTACCCCAGGCTTCCGTCCACATGGCTCAGGTGGGGACAGCATAGAGCAGGAAGGCAGAGAAATTATAATCGAAGGTGCTCCTAAAGCTTCAGGACCAGAAGTCCTCCTGCAGGTTACTGATTCTACAATAGGTTGAAAACACCCCAACTATTCAAACATAAGAATGGGCTCATGGGGATTGGTTAGAAAGGTAAGTAGACAGCAACACGCTTAAACTGCATATTCTCTCATTTCTGCCACAGCAGATCTGTGCCACCGAGATCCACAGGCTGTGAAATGATGCTGGTTGAACTGAATCAGATTCTAGGAGCTCCCATTAGCTCATTATTCATTTATCTGGTCATCCATTCATTCAACCACCATTGATTTTTTTCCAGCACTTATTCTATGCCTGGCACTGACCTTGGCGCCTGGCATAAAAGGATAAATTAATCAGACACAGCTCCTGACCTCACAGAGCTACAGTCTCCAAGTTCAGGGTCTTGACTACTCTTTGTCTTTGATCTCTCATGCCTCATTCTATTAATTATTCTTGCTGGTTTTTTTCCCAAGTCCCTAGGATACATTTGTTTCATTTTCAATTATCAAGCTCCAGACCTGGTTCAGCCCCTTATAACCTCATGCTGAGCCCCACGCTAACCTCTCCCTCCCTCACATCCCACCCCTGCACTCCCTGCCCAACTTCTTACAAACAACAATTTGAACAGTGTTTCTGTGAGAACCCTGATTCCCCCTTGACTGGCTCAGATCACTCAAGGGTTCCTGGTGCAGGTTGAAAGCCATCCGCTTTGACATCCAGGGCTTGGTGATTGGGTACAGCTCACAAATTCGACATCCAGGGCTTGGTGATCGGGTGCAGCTCACAAATTCCATACCAGTCAAAATTCGATCTATGTCCTAAGTGGTGAGGACAGGAAAGAACTGGAACCCTCCTACTCTTCTGATGGTGGAAATGTGAAATGGTTATGACCACTATGGACAACAGTATGGCAGTTTATTAAAAAGTTAAACACACATCGACAAATGATCCTGCCTTTCTGCTCCTAGGTATTTCCCCATAAGAAACGAAAGCACATATCCTCACATGGACATCTTCATGAATGATTACAGCAATGTTAGATGTAATAGCTCCAGACTGGAAACAATGCATATGCCCATGAACAGGTAAGCCAATAAAATATGCGGTATATCCATATGGTAGACTACAACTTACGGAGGACCAGGAAGGAACTATTGCTCCATAACACCCATGGATGGACCTTGAAAGAATTAGCCTGAATCGCTGGGCATGGTGGTGCACACCTGTAATCCCAGCACTCGGGAGGCTGAGGCAGGAAGATCATTGTGAGTTCGAGACCAGCCTGGGCTACAAAGTGAGCTCAAGGCCGGCATGAACTGCATAGCGAGACCCTGTCTGAAAAAGACAAATAAATAAATAAATAAATGGATAAATAAATAAATAAATAAAAGAGTTAGCCTGAATGAAGCCAGAGAGGAGAGTGCATAGCATATGATTCCATTTACCTACAATTCTAGACAATGAGGTCTAATACACTATAAATAAGAGCAGAGGAATGGCTGCCTGTGTAGGGGGTGGAGGGGAGCAGGGTAACTAACGGGATGATAAAACAGAAGAGGGACCTTTGGGAGACGATGAACATGTTCACTGTGTTCTTTGTGGTGATGGTTTTGGGGAATATACATACGTCAACAGTATCACATGATGGACTTTAATCATGTGAAACATATTGTATGACAATTGTACCTCAATACAGATGTTAAAAAACAAACAGTTCTGGTCACAGTTTTATAATATCAAGCCACCAAGGACAAAGCCACTGCAGCTGGCTACTCACTAGAAAACCACTAACAAGCTGTACAGTAGATCCTGGGGAAGACCCCCTAAGTCCAAGTGGGTGTTGGGAAGCAAAGATGTTCACACTTCGCCTTGGTACTATGGGGCTTGTTCCCTCTTGGACACAAAGGGTAACAAAGGCCACCTCCCCGAGCTACTCTGAGCCTCAAATGAGTAGCAGGTATCAAGTAGCCAGCACAACACTGGGCAGGTCACTCATCCTCAAATTCTTCCCCTGTCCTGGCCCCAGGCTTCTCACAGCAGTAGTTCAGGTTCAGGGCCTGCTCCCCAAGAGCAATGAGAAGCCAGGGCTCCCCAGGGCTCAGCGAGGAGTGGGGAGAAGCCCAAGGAAGCACCCACACCCACAGTCCAGGGATCTCTGGCTGTAGGGGTGAACTGACAGCAGCCTGCTCCCCTGGGTAAGAACAGGACTCTCATAGCCTGGGTAACAGTCCAGGAGTTTGTGAGACACAGACAAGATGGCGGAGACCCTGGAGGAAGGTAGCCATGAAATAGTTTTCAGGAACAGGCATCAAAAGGAATGTGGGCCAGTTGCAGTGGGTTGGAATTGGCAAGTAGAGCACGTTTCCGTGAAGAGCACAGGATCTGGGGTTGGGAGGGGAGAGCTCAATGCCCTCTAGCATGTGAGACAAGGTTGACTCTGTGGGCCCAGGGGTGTGGAGGTGTGTAGGAATGGTGTATATGTGTGTAGCATATGTATGAGGTGTGTGTGTGTAGGTGATGTAAGTGTATATGTACATGTGTGGGTGTATGATCTGCGTGTAGGTGGTGCATGCACATGTGATGGTGTGCCCATGTGTAGGTGGTACACATGTATGTGTGATGTGGTACACATGTATGTGTATAGGTGGCACATGTGTGTTGTAGTACATGGCAAGTGGTACATGCATTCACATTACAGGTATATTCATGTACGTTGTATATGTGTATGTATGTTTTGTGCATGGTGTGTGTGTCAGTGGTACATATGCATGTATGGTGTGTGTTTATGTATAAATGAAGTATGCACAAGTGTGGTGTATTGTGTGTGAACATGTGGCATGTGTATATGTGTGTTCATCTCCAAGAAGCAAATACACATGATTACCGACTTCTAAGTAGAAAGACAACTCAGTCAGCTCCCCAGTCACATGAGCAGAGGAAACACTAGTACTTCTGAAAAGTAGCCCCCATGCCAACCTCTAATCAGCCTTCATCATTTATAAAGGCGTAGCCCAAGCCTAACATTTGGAAGACGTTGGTGAGGGGAACACAGTGTCCTTCCTTCAGTTGCCCACGAACCACAATGTAGCCGGGAGCAGGGACCATTCAGAGGATGCTCGTGTGGCTACAGGTCAGGAAGCAAGTGCTCACACAGTCAGATGTCGCTTCATCTCACGGCAACCCAGAGAGGTCAGCACTTCTGACCCATGAGGTCCCTGAGGCTCAAGCCCAGCAGATGATGCCCAGTTAGGGCTGGTTCCTCTAACACATGTGTGTGTTAATTCCAATCCAGTTCTGATTCAGCTCTGGAGCGTGTGTGTGTGTGTGTGTGTGTGTGTGTGTGTCTACATCCAGCAGATGTGACGGGGTTTCTCTCAGGTATATATTACAATGGGGTGTACCCTCTTTCTGCCTCTGCTATTCAAAATTAGGGGGATGTGTTTTAGCAGCTTCTCCAACAAGCCTAAGATGGAAAAAACATCAATGACAATAAGGTATCCCAAACTATCCCACCAGGTCACACTTGAAAAACTAAATATGCAACATATTTCTAGAAAGAAAGGTATAAACACTGATGAATAGCTAGGCTGGGCTCAAACTCTGACACTCATTAATTACCTCACGGATGGAATTGTGCTGTCCATTTTCCTATACAGAGAAATTAAGGCTCAGCAAAATTAAGGCTCAAGTTAGTAAAGCTCATAAAAGCCATGAACCTCCATCTGATGGATTCCAGAACTCCGATACAGCCTTCCTGCCCAGAGAATGCAGAGGGAGTAGGGCTGTAACGTAGGCACCTCAGCCCCAGCCCTTCACCTGTGTCCCCATCCCCGCTCCCAGGAAAGACTCAGCACCTGCAGAGAGAAGCCCAGCGGCCCAGCATCTCACCACACACAGGCTCAGGAAGGTCCAGGCTGTTCCATCCTCTGGTAGCCTCTCGGGGTACAAGCTGGGCACACACAGGTGCCCCCGAGCTCGGTTTAATGCACTGCCACCTCTGTCTTGAAACTTTCAGTAAGTTCTGCACAAGGAGCTCCGCACTTCTTCCTGCACTGAGCCCTGCAACTCACAGCTGGTCTTGCACATCTCTACGGAGGCCAGCGCGGGCAGTCTTTGCCAGGAAGTGCAGCCCGGCCAGCCACTCCCTATGTTTCCAAAAATGTTGCCCACAGTCCCCGAATGGTCGGGAGTGAACCCAGACAAGTTACTTTAATCTGCGGTGGCTTCCTGCCCACATGGCCTTGACCTGCTGCTCAGTCACTGCCGGGCTGCCCCCTCCGTGATCCCTTCCTCCTCAATGTCCCACTGCCCAAGGGACTGGAATTCCTAGAGGGCATGGATACAGCTGTTTTTATCCCCAGCTCTCCTATGGGGATCTTTCCACACTCACCACGGGAACTTGCTAAGAGCTGATGCATAAATGAACTGTCACTACTGCCTGAATCTTGACCCTACCCATGACAAGGCACATCATGGAACCAGTGACATCAGATTCAGCTTACATCAGGGGGTAGGTTCTCCCTCCTGCAATTAAATACTATACATCGGAGACTAGCTTGGCATTGAGAGCCAGTAAAGGGTGGCTGTGCTCCGTCTCTGTGATTCTCATCATCATTATCCCCTCTCCAGCCTCACGTCCACCTTTGCCACCTCCTCCCATCCATCCCCAAATACGCTCTACCCTAGCCTTCCTGACCACTCCCATGCACCCGAATTCCCTCAAACACCCAGAGTGCTGTCTGAACTTCGCCATGTACTACTATGACGTGGCACTTCCACTGTGTGCTTATTTTCTGGTTTATATTTTTTTATACCAGTGAATCTTCTGCCCACCTAGACTCTGGACGTACATGGCTGGTCCCCGACCTCAGAACGTTCTCTCCGAGTGATCACTAACGGCAGTGTGTGAGAGAGAGAAGAAAGGGTTTCACAGCTCAGAAATAAGGCTTCACGCAGACCCGATGCACCCAGGCCCTTCCTCCCCTCTCTGGGCTCAGCCAGGGGCAGAAGGTGTCCAGACCTAGGACAACACTCAAGCTGTGTCTCAAGTGACTCTCAGCAAGGGAAAGGAATGCTCCTTTGGAAACTCACAAGATCAGGTCAGACCTTGGGATTTCCAGGCAAACGCAGGGCATTTGGATTTGTTTGCTTCATCTTTGCTTTTAATGGTGTCCTCTCTTTCTTGCCAACAAAGGGCATCTTGCATGCAAAAGGTGTAAGGGATCCCCACCCGCACCCCACAGCTTCTGAAGATGGGCTGCTTCCAGTAGGGCAATGAGAGTTTGCCTGTGGGACTTCAGACTCCAGAAGCTGGGATTTCTTCTAGGAAGCCAGGCTGCCCCAAGCCCCGAAAGCAGTGCTGTAGAGACTCCTTTGCCCACCCTCTCACCCCTGCAGGCTCCACCCCAGGCCTCTCCTCTGCAGAGGGCCCCTTCTCAGTGCTGGTGGGCAGAAGCCCTCCACCTCACCCTGGACACAGCGCTGCTTGCTGTCACCTCTCTGCCCTGCCACCCTCCACAGGCCCTTTGCTCATTTCTCCAGCATGCACAGTCCTAGCCACCTGTCCCCATGCTCTCTGTGGCTGCTGTCTCCCCTCTCCATGGAGCTCCACCCCCACCCACATTCCACTGACACCCACCAGGCTTCACTTCCTGCTGGAAGCCTTCCTGTGCCCCTTCTCCCTCCTTGACACCCCGTGTTCCTCCCATGAGCAAACACCGGGCAGAGCTACCTCATCCTGAATTACCGTCTCTCCCTGGACTGAGACCTTCTTGCTTCAGCATCTCGTTTATGCAACACGAGCCCTGGTACCCAGCATGGAGCCTGGCACTTAGCAGATACACCCAGACTCTGCCAAAGCTCGGGCCCTGGATGTTTCTCCTTCTCCCTCACCATTTCCCTCTAAAAAAACAAACAAACAAACTTCCAGCTCTTCCTTTCAGAGCAAGAATCCCTCTAAAACCCTTCTTTTCCAATCTCCAGGCCATATTTCCATTCAGAGGAGGCAAAAACAAAAACAGAAAAAAAACACCACCAAAACAAACAAACAAAAAAAAGCCAGGCATGGTGGTGCATGCCTGTAATCCCAGAATTTGGGAGGCTGAGGCAGGAGATCACCACAAGTTCAAGGCCAGTCTGGGCTACATAGTGAGACCCTGTCTCAAAGAAAGAGAGAGAGAGAGAGAGAGAGATAAAGAGAGAAACAAAGGTGGCAATGCAGGTCCTTTCAACTTCCCCCCCTAAAGGTCTCCTTCCTTCCCCTTACAGACAACCCAGGCTTTCCTCTGGGAAGACACCACAGGCCTGAGGTTCCAAACCACCGTGGAAGCATCTTTAACTCTTCCCTCACCTACCACATGCCAGCCATTTGTGTGCATTATCTCATTTAATGCTTGCAAGAAAAAGTGAGTATTCACACCATTTTAAGGAAACCTGTGCATGGAGAAGTCAAATGACCTGGCCAAGGTCACAAGAACATGTCTGTCTGGGCTGGAGTTAGAGAAGTGCTGACAGGCTGCCCGGAAGCTGTCATCCCCCTCCCCGGAGCTCTTTGTTTTATGTTCAGTCCCCACACCCAGCTGACTCAACTTGGAAAAGCTCCGTGTGTCGACACTGTGCTCACTTGTGTGGACTCCGGCTTGCTGCAGGCGCACAGGGTGCAGCTGCGCTGTCCTCTATCAGGAGACCGGGAACGCAGCATCCCGTGTTCTTGGCCAGCAGCTTGCAATGATGTCCTCACCGCTCTGAGTGGGCACGGGCCATAAGCATGGAGCTGCTTCTGCAAGGCACCGTCCCTTCCCCCCAGCGTGGCTGACCCCTTTCCCCTGGGCTCTCCAGCTTCCATCTCCCTCCCTGGCCCCAGGTTAACACCTCCCAACAAGCTACCCGCATGGACAATCCTGGGTCTCCCAGCTCCTTCTCCCTTGGTACCTCCCAGTTTCCCAGCTCAGGCAGGAGATCTCCAACAGCCTCCTGAGTCTCCTGGCTGCCCGTGCTCTGACTTCCTGATCTGCAGATAAGGGGTAAGGACCCAGGCATCTGTACTTCGCCAAACTCCTCAGGTGACCTGGTTGCAAGTCATTCAACACTTGCTTGGCTCTCTTCCGTCTTCTTCTGTAGCACTCCTTCCCAAGCTTTTTCACAATTCACCCCTTCTTTGCAGAGTTTCGAGCAAAGTTCTGAGGCTCACCTGCCTGGCTACACCTTGGAGTCTCAGCATTTTGAAAAAGTATATATGAGCATGGAGCAAGCCAGGAGGCTGAGCAGCGCATCCTGGTTCAGCCAGGATTGGCCAAGTTTTCAAATGGAAAGTTCCACCTCCCAAAACCTCTCAATCCAGGCCAATAGCATCACCCTACCTGTGGCCTGTATCTGTAAGGTATCTCCAGGTAATGCTAATCTAGGCAGCCAAATCAGCTGACCTCCCCCAGAATTCCCTGAGAGTCAGAACTCAGCTGCCTGAGATAGTTTACACTTATCTCAGCTATCTCAAAATGTGTCCCTAGACCATAGCAGCAGCAGCACCTGAGAATTTGTTTTTTTAAAAATGAAGCCGTTTTAAACAGCTACTATCAACACCTACAATTTATTCGTCTCACCTACAGGCTAGAGCCACTCTCAATGTTTCACATGTCCTCACTCAAGTTACAGGAGGCACTTAAGGTGGTCATTCTGGAGCATGATGCCCTGGCGTTCCCTTCTCAAAGCAAAGTCTTTCACTTTTGCAACTTTAAGTGAGCTAAGTGTGGGTCCTTGCAGATTTCTGACATGCCCTCAAATCATTTTTCCTACAGTCTTGATCCAAAGTACCTGTCTTAGTCACTTTCCTCATTACTAAGAGGTGAGACAGTTTAAAGGAGGAAAGGTTTATTTTGTCTCACAGTTTAGAAAGGTTTTCATCCACAGTCGACTGGCTCCAGATGAAGATGATTTGGCAAAGGGGTATGGCTGAGGAGAGTTGCACACAGCATGGCGGACAGGTAGCAGAGAGAGAAGGGAGGAGCCAAGAAGGGAGATATAACCTTCCGAGATCATGCCAACAGTGATTCATCTCCTCTTCCAACCATGACACAACTCCTAATAGCAAGTCAGCTACACTGCCCCTATAATTCAATCACTTCTGAAGGCCCTACCTATGACTGCATAAGGGTTTAGGGAAACATCTAGATATAAACCATAATATTCTGCCCTGACACCAAAACACTCATGCACATCCCTTTATGCAAAAGGCATTTAGTCCATCTCGCAGAGTTGCCAAACTCCTGACAGTTCCAGCATTGCTAAAAAGTCCAAGGCCAATGTCTTCGCTGAAACTTCAGGCAAACTCTCAGTCATACTATCAAAAAGAAGTTAAACACTGCCAACATACAACAGTACTGGATAAATATTCCCACTCCAAAAGGGAGCAGTGGGGAATAAAAACTAATAGAACCAAAGCAAGACTGAAACCCAGCAAAGTAAATATTAAATCCTGTAGCTCATGTCCAGCACCTGGGTCAAAGATGTGAGCTCCAGAATAGTTGGCTTCTCTGTAATCATTTCAGCAACCAAACTCTCCTCTGCTCCAACTTTATTGGCCCCAACTTTGTAGGAGCTTCTTTTCTGGTGAGACTCAAAACTTTAAAATCACTCAGATGTGTGCCTATTATTCTTGATTCTCAACACAGATGTGGCTAAAAAGTGCCAACCATGCCCATGTCACACCCTCAATGTTGGGCTATATTCAAAATTTCCTCCACCAGATTAATAAATCCAGTGCCTTTAATCTCAGCCTCCTGCAAACTCTCAGGATATGAGCAAAATATAGACAAATTTTCTACCATTGTATCACACATGGCCTGGAGTCCAAGTGCTAATGGAATCCTTGTTCACAGCTGAACCCCTCTGAGCCTGGTCTTTACTGGTTCTGTTACTATCACCATTCTTATCTTCTGAATCTGACCAGAATTTCCCACCAACCTCACCTTACAGCTTTCTAGGGCTTCTCTAGCTGGCATCTCCAAACCTTTCCAAACTCCTCCCATGAAATCAGTTCCGAAAGCTTCTGAACCACAAGGTCAGGTAGCATTACAGTAATGAGTACATTTCTGGTACCAAAAT